AGGACTACCTATCAACTAATGTTAGGAGTAGATGACTCTATATTCGATCCTTTAGCATCAGATCACTCTCGACACCATTGATCGCCTGAACACATCACGACACGTAATACCATATCGAACGACCATTTCATCCCGTACCACCGTATCCACCTGACGCTCTCTTCTCGATCACACGATCACACGCGTCTCTGACTCACGAATTCGAACGACTTCCCGATTCACTGATCTTCTGCCGAACATCGATCCGCGGTACATCTGAAATTGTCACGTTGGTAGATCTCACGATCACATGTATCACGATCACGAACACACGATACCGAACACGTATCAACGACAAACGTCCCGACACGTTATACCACCGACACGATCCCAGACAATCGATCCCGATCACGATCCACGACACGATCCCGAGCACGCGATCCCGCACGCGTCACGCGACACCAGATCCCGACTAAATCCTACCACGATTCCCGACAACGATCCCGAACACGATCCCGACACGAATCCCGAGCTACAGATCCGACATCTATTCCCGACACGATGATCCCTGACACACGATGCTTCCGACATCGAATCCGCGAACACGTCTCCTTACACGATCCCACCAGACACGAGTCCCGACATAGCTGATTCCCGACATAATCCGTTACTCGACCTGACACGGCCATCTCGAGACTATTGCAGGACTCGACATGATTTTGACATAATTCATCGACATGATTTCTTGACCAAATAATTTCGATCATGAATTTTTTGACACATAATTTCGACCATGGATTTTTGACATAATTTCGATACATGCAATTTTGACCATAACCGTTGTATTTTCGACTTATGATTTTTGAATAATTATCGACATGAATTTTTGACATAAATTAGTCGACATGGATTTTTGACAATAATTTTCGACCATAATTTATACTATGCTTTCGAAACAATTTCGAACCCCATTTTAGACACTTCTCGACGCGTTCTCATTATGGTCATCTTCCAGTCACGAACATGACCCAATTATCATTTTTCCTACGTTGTCCTAACATGTTCTTATTACCTCTCGGCATCTCAACCACAACCTCTCTACCACTTCCAAATTACACCACTGACACACTCGTTATGCTCCACCACAGTGTCTTTCTTTCGTCACATCCACATTACAATGTACACCGCGGTCCCAGAATATCCCCTTATATTTCAGCAATGTTCCACCTCGCTATAGCACTTTCATAGCGTAGCCAAGGCGCCAACATGACTAGTATGACCTCTTCGGCTGCAATGCGACTTCAGCGTATTTGCGCAATCATCTGCGCTAAGCATATTTCATTCCACTGACAGACTGAGCAATTCTCCGTTACCCACATTTAATTTCTTCTCGATATCTGATATTTATTTTTATGTGTTCACAATAGTCGGTTATTCTCGAGACCGTTCATCTTCCAAGTTTTGCTGCCACCAAATTTCGTCATCCATTACACCATGGCGCCGCCCTATATCGCCCACTCTGACACGTCACCTTCGTCGTTCGACTGTCTCCCCGAGCTTCGGTTTCCCAAGGCAACCTTCTGCATCTTCTGTTCCATTCTCGGTCATCTCCGTTCCTCTCTA